TCGAATGGCCTGACTCTCGATGGCATCGGAGAAATGCCCTCTTGCAAGGCGATCTCGCCCGTCTTCGGTTAGCTCAGGATACGCCAAGCTTGATAGCTCCCTTATAGCCTGTCCTAGCTCTTGAAGAGTCTCTTTGGGACCTTGTCGCCTATGGCGTAGCTCCATGAGATGGTTCTCCGCCAAACGTCCAGGCCCGAACCTCTTCTCCAGACGGTCGATCAGTTCGTCGTACGTTGGATGACACCCAGCACCCGCAGCTTTGCCGAGCACCTTCAGTGCGGCCCCCTGGAGGCTTGCCGCCAAGAACACCTCGGCTTGTTTCTCTGTCCATCCATTGGCTGACCTGCACGCCTCGAAATGTTGCTTGTAGTCTCTCCAGGGACTTTTGCCATTATACCGGTCAGGTATAATGTTGGGCCGCCTTGTAGTAATCTCCGCCTTTGCTTCTACTTTTGGCGAGGGCGCACCCCAATCTTCCACTTTTGTCGCCTTGGGAGGCTCTTCCGCTCCCTTGCTTTGCTCACAGCACTTCTTGGAGCCTAGTTGTCTTACTGACGGGGAATTCTCATCTTCCGAATCTTCTCTCATCGTCGAGCTTGCTTGTTCCGCCCCATGTGCTGGTAGTTGGAGCCGAGCCGAGGTGCTAGTCCTTGGTTTAGGATTTGGCTTCACTCCGGCTGGTTGAATTGGTGTAAGAAAATCTGACCCGCCAAGGCCAGAGTCCTTCCGGCTACTGCTTTCTTGGCGCAACCTAAGTAGGCGCAGCTCAGCTTCCAACAGCTGAATTTTCTTAGTAACCTCAATATCTGACAGGCTTGTGTATTCACTCCTGTCTTGAACTCGTTGGTGGACTGTTTCCGGAGTTGCCACCTCAATTTCTGGAAGAAAAGTTTGAGTTGCGCAATATAGAATCTCATGATAGGCATGCAGATGAAGCAGCTCAACTGCCAAATGGCAATTCTGTCACAGGAGTAAGAGGGAAGTGTTGTTTAAATGAGCTCCGTTACTTCCATGTTACAACAAACTGTAATTTTGATGTAATGCACGACATCTTTGAGGGTGTGGCACCATTTGAAGTAAAGCTTGTTCTTAGACAGCTGTTATTAGTAGACAATGTTATGACAGTGGATCAATTCAATGCACGGGTGAAAAGTTTTGCATATCCATTCATGGAGAGGAAGAACAAACCAAGTGTCAACCGTACAAGACCAGGACTACAGAATGAAGGTGATCAATTTAATGTTGCAATCAAGCTGGAACAATACTCCTAGATGGTAAGGGGAGAATTGTCGATTCCTAGAAATGTAAATGCAGCTTGAATCCATTTCAAGTACATGTATATCAAGAACAATCAAACGTTACCAGTTTTAATAATTTCTAAAGTTGTTACTGCATTAATTAGGGAGATGTTTATTGAATTTTAAATTTTTGCCATTTTCTGTGTATACCTCAACATTGGATACTCAGTGTTTCCCTGATAGCTTACAAAACTCCAAGTGTAGGGTGAAAGTTGAACCCACAATCTCCTGTTTACTAGTACAGATGTATCTATCATTCAACCACTGAGCTTGCGGTTGCCACAGTACCTGTTGGCTACAATTTAACTAGTAAGCGGGAGGTCATGGGTACAACTCCCACTTGAACACTCAAGCTTTCTTTTTAGCCAAAGGGAAACACCGAGCTTGCTGTGTTGAAGTTTAAATGGGAAAGGCAATAATCTAAAATTAAGATTTTACTTATAAATCTAAAAATTTATTGTTAATATTCATTATTCATGAATATATTATCAGACAGTGTTTTTATTCATCTTTATCAGAAACTTTCACATGAGGGAAGAGTGCACAAATTTAATGTTGCCATCAAGCCAAGTGTTATTAGGGAACAGTACTCCTAGCTGGTAAGAGGAGAATTGGATTCATAGAAATGTAAATGTAATTGCGGAGATGTTTATTGAATTTTTAATTTTTGCCATTTCCTGTGTTTACCTCAACATTTTGCANCAATATGATAATCTGAGTCTTGGGTATAGTTGCAATCGAACGGAATGGAAAATTTAGTCCGATTTCTCTTTCGTTCTGGTAGTCGGTCGAAGTTGAGGACTGCTCACACATGATCGACAAAAATCCAAGCTCAGGTAGTCTAAAGGGTGCAGAGTCTCAATTCAAGGAACGAGGCGCACAAAAAGTACCCCCCAGAAATTGTTTCGAAAAGAGGAGTCTGTTTGGGCCAAGAAATGATGGGATTGTGTCAGTATGGCCCAGGATCGTCTCTGTAGTTTCAGGGGCACCCATCTGGGGGCAAAGCAGACAAAAATGGGATTGAAAATTAGTCAGAAGAGCCCGAGGAAGGTGAGGGATGTCATTTGAAAAATGGCCGCTGGGAGGGCTTGGCAACATTCACTTTTGGGGGGCCGAGTTTGTTTTGGGCGGATAATTAACAAATTCATTGGTTAACCTACTAAAAATTGAAAATCAAATGAAATCTGAAGGACCAAACAACACATTGTTTTTTGTTTGAGAGGCCTAAGGGACTTCAGTTGCCTGCCATGGGGCTCCAAACTTGGTTGATTTTACACTATTTCAATAGAGCTTGAATTGGTTCAGTGCACCCTTAACGTTCTTGTGCAACAACGCCATCTATGGTTCAATATAGGACAGTAAGTTGAAAATTGTGGGCCCACCCCGGCAGGTGTAACCGTAATTCTGCAATAGCGCCCTCATAGCCCGATATAGGACAGTCTGAAAACTCCGTGCAATCTGTGAATAAAGTCTATAGGAAAAATTAATTTATCCCACACGCGCACTAAGACTTGTTAATTTGTTGATTGGGGACTTCATGACTCGTCGGGGGAATGAATGAGTAATGACGCATCTCAGTATTTATGTTGAAATCACTACCTCGCTGGATTTACGTGTACATACATGTCGCTGTTTGTTGACTTACGATGTGGCTATTGGTTCCAACGTTGTATAGTTCTACTGCAGACGTTGTGATTTGTCATAAGTGCAGTGCGATGGGATAGCACATTTATCTTGTAGTTTGATTGGCTTAGATACATCACTGACAGATGTAGACCTTAAGGAAAAACGTGTCTGGACATGTTCTAATTCCTAGGTGCACTTCATTCGCGCATGTCAGGTGGAAGGGTGTGTACACCACAAAATGCAAAATAATTGTGCTCTTCTGTAAAATCATAACAGACATTGTTACTGATCTTAGGGTGGGTAGCCGTGTTAGTCTATCCAAAAGAATAATTATTGAGAGTTTAAGTAGCGCCTAAAGACTAACTGAGTAGACTAACTTCATCAGATGTGGTGAAGTAACATATCATCAACACAGGTATATAATATGGCAGTGAAGTACTCATGCATGTCCAAACAAAGGTTCATAGTCATCACGGGGGGTAGTGGGACATGAAATCACGATCTCTATTAAGTCC